CCAGAAGATAACAGCCCAGAAAACAAAACAAAACAAAACAAAAAGCAAACGAAGAAAACAAATAAACAAAGAAAATAATAGGGATGTTAAAAGGTCACATATCTTTGGTAGCAAAGTAGAAAAGGGATTAAAGCTTAAGCATTTTAAGGAGCCCACACCAGCAAAGCTAAGGTTAGAAACGATGGAATAGAGGTGAGTCTTGAGTGATGGCTATCCTACAAAGAGGCAGAAAGGAGCAAGGGGGCATCACAGGCTGGAGACCCACTGAGCAGGGGTAGACAAAGGCATGAAGTGCAAATAAACCTGCTATATCTGGGAGACATCAGTGATACAGAGTTGCAGACATCTGCAAATTAGACCTTCCGGAAAAGGCAGATGGAATTGGCAGTTCACTGATTCTCCCTCTCCTCTCTCTCTCTCTCATTCTCTTTTTCTTTTAATTACAAAAGTACAATTTATATTGCAGACCTCAGTTGACCTCTGTGAAATCTAGTGCGGGTAAATATTGCCTCTAAGGACACCTAGAATGATCACTGCTGATGTATTCCTACATAATTTATACAACATAGGATAACAATGGATGCCTGTGATTGTGTTAGTAATTTTGGTGATAATAACTGTTACACATTGCCATGATCAAATAAATACCTCTGAATATGGCATTCCTATTCATCCATAACAATGACAAATAGCTCATGACTTTTTAGGAGAAGTAATTTAAAACATATTTAAATTGGACAATATTCCTATGTTTTAGCAAATACTGACCAAAAAAAAAAAAAAAAGACTAATAATGAATATTTAAAACGTTGAATAATTACAATAATCAGTTCTTTATATAAAATGTCTTCTATTAGCATTACTTCATATTCTGTCCCTCCACTTAATTGCATGACTATGCATTTTTACCAGTAATACTGGCAATATTTTAAAAACCCCTGTGTGTGTGTTATAGAAAATGCAAACAACCTTATACGTCTTTTCATATATTTGATCTGCTGAAAAGAGAAAGAAAAGAAGGAATGTCTTCATGCGAGGATAGGATGTAATGAGTTTACCTATTAGAGAGGACCATGGTTTTCTCCTGTTTTGTCATTTTATTTCTCTACCACATTCCCTGAAATAATTTGTTACAATGATCTAACATTTTAGATACTTACAGATTAAAAAAAAAAAACAACAACAACTACATAGTACTACATAGTAATTTTGAAGAGTGGAGAAAGTACAAAGTATAAAAATGTATTTTTCCAGGCACCTGGGTGGTTCAGTTGGTTCAGCATCTGACTTCAGCTCAGGTTGTGATCTCCCAGTTTATCAGTTCAAGCCCCACATCAGGCTCACTGCTGTCAACATAGAACCTGCTTTGGATCTTCTATCCTCACCCCTCTCTGTGGCTCCCCAGCTCACACTCTCTCTCTCTCAAAAATAAAAATAAATGTATTTTTCATTCATTCTAAAGGAATTCAGTGATGGAAAATAATTATTAACTTATATATCTAATTTTATTTAATTATATTTTTCCACACCTCTTTTTCACAACTACTGTAACATCTTTTTGAACTTTTTTTTTTAAAATACATCTTTGTAGACTTTAAATTGAGTTTAAGTTGTTCTATCTTGACACACACCATAAGCACACACAAGAATTCAGATAAACATGAATGAATCCTAGTTACATCTACTATGCTTTATTAATCTTTTTATCCTCTGCCTAGTGCCTGGCACAATGACTTTCCTACAGAAAACGCTCTATGTGTTGAACTAGTAAAACTTACATAATACCTTATGTAACAATTTACATGTGGCAGATATATGAAATGATTATAAAGTCAATAGTTTTCACAGCAGTCTTAACATGAAATGTCTCAAGACTATGAAACTAATGTGATGATTCAGCCAGGAGTAGGTTTTGACAACACTATTAGTAATTTTACTTCCTAACTTCCCTCCAAGTACATGGGGGAAATGTTGTGTTTCTTCTTAAATGTCTATTTATTTTTGAGAGAGAGAGAGAGCATGAGCAGGGGAGGGGCATAGAGACAGGCAGAAAGACGATCTCAAACAGGCTTGGGGCTGCCAGCGCAGAGCCTGACGGAGGAGGAGCTTGAACTCACTAACCATGAGATCATGACCTGAGCCTGAGTCTGACACTCAGCCGACTGAGCCATCCAGGCGCCCAGGAAAAATGTTTTTGATAAACACATCTAGTTTATTACTCTGTGTGTGTTTTTTTGGAAGAGAGAGAGAGGCAGAGAGACAGAGAGAGACAGAGCTAGAGAATCCCAAGCAGGCCTGCACTGTCAGTGCGGGGCTCAAACTCACACACGGTCATGGGGCTCACACGGGGCTTGCAAGGGCTTCAAACTCACAAACCGTGAGATCACGATCTGGGCCAAAATTGAGAGTCTGATGACTAACCTACTGAGCCACCCAGGTTCCCCTAGTTATTGTTATAGGTGACATTCTTTCTGTTAGGGGTGGCTTTATCTGCCTTGAAGCCTTGTCTTAAACTGCATTAAAATATGTATATTTTAAAAGTCTTGAAGGGGGGCACCTGGGTGTCTCAGTCGGTTAAGCGTCCGACTTCGGCTCAGGTCTTGATCTCACAGTTTGTGAGTTCGAGCCCCACGTCGGGGTCTGTGCTGACAGCTCAGAGCTTGAAGCCTGCTTCGGATTCTGTGTCTCCCTCTCTCTTTCTGCCCCCTCCCCACTCACGCTCGCTCTTTCTCTCTCTCTCTCTCCCAAAAAGAAATAAACATTAAAAAAAATTAAAAAGAATAAAAGTCTTGAAGGGACACAAGCTTAGTCTATTGATACTCGCTTTTGTCATTATTCAGTTCAAATTCCAACAGTTCTGTGAAGCCATCAGCAATCCTTAATGATGTAAGCAGTTTATCATTTCTTCCTCTTACCTGTTAAATAAAGACCAACGTGCTTTCCACTTCTAGTTCCTCACACTGGCTTGTGCTATTAGCTCCCTTTCCCTGAGCTTGTGTCCCCTCTTCACCTGGCTTAGGCTCCTTAAGGGTCAGGTCAATTTTACATCTTCCATCCCTCTAAGGGCAGAAAGCCTTTAGCATAGTACCTTTAATAGATTCTCCCTCTCCACTTACACTTTGCTCTCTTTCATTAGCTATTTAATAATTTTAACACTTTAGTAGATATCCTTCTTTGAGATTTCACTTGATTTATGTATGAATGAATATCTTAACAAAATTAGATTTCCTATGGGCCCATTGTAACTTATGTGGTCTAAATATTCTTGCTATTTTTAATTAAGTGTATATTTATGAATGCAGTCCCAAATGCTCATAAGAAACATTCAGAATTATTTTTGCACATTGAGAAAGCAAACCAGTAAGTGAAATACCACACAGATAACATGAATTGAGTGAGTCGGATGATTGTGTATCAGAAATGAAGACCAGGATTGCAAAAACATTGGGGTGCTTGGGTGGCTGAGTCAGTTAAGCATCTGACTTCGGCTCAGGTCATGATCTTGCAGTTTGTGAGTTGGGGCCCAGAGTCGGGCTCTGTGCTGACAGCTCAGAGCCTGGAGCCTGCTTCAGATTCTGTGTCTCCCTCTCTCTTGTCCTGCCCTGCTTGCACTCTCTCTCTCAAAAATTAATAAACATTATAAAAATTAAAAAATATATGTTAAAAGATTAGACATGTAAATTACAGGAACAGAAGACAAAAGCCACATATATAAAAACCAAGATAATTCTCTAGATACTGTGGAAAAAAGCAAACTATAAATCACAGATATCACAATCTGGAAGCCTACTTTTGTTCCTCTTGGAACTTGCTTTTACTTTCTGACTTAGTCCTTTGCTCGCTGCTGCTTCAGCATCTAGAATATGTAAATCTCATCCTCCAGTCTAAGTCTACTTACTCATCAATCAAGACCTAACTCAAATCCCAATAGTTTCACATTTTCCCCAAGTGTTTTATTCAGGGCAAAATATCCATAAAAGTCATTTTTAAGGTCAATTCCATTTTATGATAATTTACATATCATGCCAAAAGCTTAAAATGTGCTTATTATGACCCTAAGTTTCATTTTTCCCGTACTAGGCTGCATTTTTAACGTTTGCTGCAAGTGGCTATACTTCGAAGACTATATGGTTATACAATCATCAGAAACATTCCTAACAGATTTATGGAGCTATAGACAAATTTTTAAAATAAATTTTATTTAAATTATTAATAATTGCTGTAATTATTTTGTGTTGAAACCAAATTGTAATGCCTCTATTCCCCTAACCTTGCTCCTAGAGTGACCTGCTTTTCACGCAGGTATTCCTATTTTAAAGAATATCTTTTCATCTCAAGTCAGCAACCACAACAGTCCAGAGTGGATGCCCAATCTTTGATGATGTTTAAAACTGCTCTTCCACACAAAAAGGTACCTGCACAAGTACGGTTTCTACCGCCTTTCCACCTCCTGGTCTTTTCCAAGCCTGGAAACACTCAGGCGGTTGGGTAGGGACCCGCATTGCTGGGCTGATTGGAATTACCTACTGCAGGTCCCGTCCGCCCCGCTCTCCCGAGGGCGGTGCAACCCTCCCCTCCCCCCCCCAGCCCTGCGGCCCCCTCAACCTTACCCCCCACCCACCGCATTCCAGAGCCTAGGACGCGGCGGGGGGGGGGGGGTGAGAGCTCAACCCGCTCTCCCGAGGCCCACCCTTCCCAGGTAAGCGCGGGGGGTCCTCTGGGGTCTCCAGGTGTCGGGACTCGCCATCTCCCGAGAGCCCGGAGGGCGGAGGGGAAGGAAGACTTTGTACTTGGCGGGTGGAGGGTTGGGTTTCTGAGTTCAGACAGGATCCGAGGCGCTTTCTGGCAGCGCGGGGTTTGGCGTGACACGACTCGGGACTTGTTGCAACTGGTCCGCCCGCCCGCGCTCACTTAGCTGTGCACCGAGGCCGGGGAGGCGCGGTCGGGGCCGGATCCCGCTTCCCTCCGCCGACCTGACGCGCGGCAGGTAACTCCCCTCCCCTCCCTCCCTCCGCCTCGCCGCTTCCTGGGAGGCAAACGTTCGGCGGCGGGCAAGGCTGCGCGCGGCTCGGGGGCGCTCCTGGCCGTAAGTGGGGCTCCGGGCTGCCCTCCGCGGCCCGGGCGGGCGGGGACGGCGGGGTCCCGAGGCTGCACCCACCGCGGGCCCGCCCGGCAGGGGGAGGGGCGCTCCCCTGGGGAGCCCGCGCGGATCGGCATTTCGGTCTCCTCTGTTGGGTGTACTTTCTCTCATTCGCGTGTAGGTGAGAGTGCGTCGGGAAGTTTGAAAAGTTGTCTCCGGCGGGGTGTGGGCTCGGGTTTCCCCGGGGACAGGCGCCGCCCACCGTGGACGCGGGGTCTGTTTCCCCCGCTGCTGTCCGTGCTGGCGGCGGACCCCGGGGAGGAAGCGGTGGCGAGGGTCTGGGAAGCGCCTCGTGGGAGGAAGTACAGGGGGGAACGTGGTCGGGCCGGGGGCAGGGGTGCGGTGGGGGGCGTAGGCTGGAGAAGGGCCAGAGTGTTCTTTCGATCTCCCCTGCGGTTTGCAACTGGAAGGGAAGGTTGTTCTTGACCGAATCTCGTTTCTTGTTTGTATCCAATCCGCCTCTTCCCCCGAATTAGTCCAGACCTGTGCTTCCCAACCTCGAGTCGGCCGGCCTGAGTGTGGGTCTGGGTCTTTGGTTCGCTGGCTAGGTGATTCTGGTACATACCGGATTTTGAGAACCACTGCTCTAGAGGGAGAGGAGTTTGTTTCTGGAAAGGTACTTGGAAAGGTACTCTTCTCTGTGACACGTTGGGGGAATTATCACCTATATGATAAGGTGTGTGAGGAGGGAAAGTGCCTGTGTGTTCAAGCTTCTGCGTTCGTGTGTAAAGAGACAGTGGTGCTTTGTAGGGAGGAGGGTGTGGGGACACAGGATACCATGCTGATCATGCATGGAGTGATGAGGTTCTTGGTTCTAGGGTCTCGACCCAGAAGTGGAGATGAGAACTCAGGAGGCCAGAACACTGAGAAAAAGCCATGCTGGCGACAGGAAGTCAAGGCTGTAGACCAAGATGGCCAGCAACTCATTTCCAGATTCCCACACATTTTGCCAGGTCACTGGCAGACACCTCCCCTCTTTCCCTTTCTCATCCCCAACCAATGCAAGAGCCCCAGGGAAATCCATGACTGAGGCTGAATCAGTCCCGACAAGAGATAGGACAAGGCTACAGCGATGAAAGGGAGGGCCTTAGAAGAGAAAGTTACTTAAAAAAAATTTTTTTTTTATTTCGTTTTTCAAAATAATTAAATAAGAATGCTGTGAAACAGGATGGAGTCAGGGTTGGGGGGTCGGTCTTTGTTATGTTTGTTTTTTTCCCTGTCTTCCTGCAATTCCCAGAATGGTGACAGTCCCCACACCTTCCAGTTTCAAATTCCACCCCCTGGCTTTTGGGTTTAGGGCACACGTGGTGGACACGCCTATTAAGGCTGCTGGCTGCGCCCTGCACAGCTTGCCTGAGGGGCTGGGTGGATCCTACCTTTAAAAGCTGGCACATTCTAGACCACAGATGCTCAGAATTTATTGTGGGAAGCTGTACCTATTGAATAGTTGCTGAAAGGGATTGCATAGGAGACAAACCACACCTCAGGTGCTGACTCAGTGATGTGTTTTGTGATTACTCTTCCGAGATTATTACCGTAACTATAACTGACTAAACTCTTTTGGGATGGGTTAATTAATTTTATTATTCCTTCTGTTGTATCTCCTCCTGCTACCATATCCCCTGTTTATACATTGAGTGTTTTCTTGACCGGGACTTCCCCTGCACCTACTTTGTTTCTTATTCCATTCCATTATACAATAATAAGTTTCCAAGATGTAACATTGTAGCTTAAGTCTTGAGAGTCTGGTGGCAAAAGTATGATCCCAGCAAAGCAGTCCTCTTCTCCATATCAGGTTGGAGAAGAGCTTTTGAAAAGGCCCCACTTAATCTTAATTTAACTAATTATTTGTCAAATTACAAGTTGTCCTTGTTTAGCTAGTTAGGTAAGTTTGCATATCTGTCCCTCTGTAACTTGTAAAATATGAGTGCTACAAGGATGTTTCACAATTCAGAGTCTGTTCCACACAATGTTACTGCTAATTTTGCAATGCACTTTTGTTTATTTAACTATTTCTAATCTGGAAGTGGCATGTATTTTAGAATTTTGTTGGTGAGTTTATCATTTGAGAGTCAGAATATATTCTCCCCACCACCCCCCAAATAGCGTTCTAACTATGGATTTCAAGATATTGTGGGTTAAATTTTATGCAAGTAGCACCTAAGCTCCATCACAAATTAAATCCACTGACATTTCTCTGAGAAAACACGCTGGAGCCTTCAGATGGAGCTTCCTTGTTACTGAGGTAGGCCAGTGGGCATTAGCATTGTTTTGTGGTGTCTGTCTCAGCTCACAAGGGGCATGGGTGGAGGTGGAGTGGGAGAAAGTTGGCTCCAGGTTTGGGAAGAAGGGTTTTTCAAGGAGCCAGGAGGCTAACGTATATAGGTGGTAGGGGTAGGGTGATCAGGGAGGCAAAAGAAGTTTTCAGCAGCTATGATGCTATGAGGAAGATGAGACTGGATTGGAGAGATGATCCAAATATAAGGGTTATTTACCCATTGGGCACATCTATGTTGGGAAGTGTTTGAATCGTGTGATCATGTCTGATATGAGGAACCTTTTCCTCTGGGGACATCTAATTACTACCCAGTTTGTAATTTCGTTTTCTTTTCGTACTGTCCTTAGGAGTGAGGCTAGATGTCCCCTAAAGGCACATGACTTTTATCTTTTGAGCTGTGTATGAAGTAATTTGTAGAGAGCACCCATCTCTGGGAAAGGTAAGTTAGGGACAGTCAGCCTGTTGAGAACTGGCATAGGGTCAGGTGTAATCTCCATGTTACTGGCAGTGGCCTATTCTAAAGAGTTTACACAAAAGTTATGCAGTCCTGATACCTAAAGGTTACGACTCTGTGCTCTTATACTCTATCCGTTCATTAAACATGCATGTATTGACTATTTTGTGCCTAGCAGTGAGTTCCACTCTGGGTAGGAAGGTAACAGGATACTGTTCCTGGATCTCAGGAAGCTGACATTTAAGGGACTTAATAACAATTATAGTCCATTCACTTAGTGTTTCATTCCTATTCTCTGAAAGTTCCAGCAGGCACTGTGTATGTTCATTAATCCTCTGTGAAACTGAACACTAGCAGACCACTTCGTCATGATTTTGGACAAAGTGCCTAAATTCTCTTGGTGTCTCAGGTTTTCCACTAGCCTGTCCCATCCTGCTCTGAAATTCTCTGTGCTTCTTATTGAGGGTACCATAAAATAATGTTACCTAACATCTCCCCATTGTATCACTGGGAAGCTCATTGTTTTCACTTCTTCTGTCAGATTATCATCTCAAAGGGTTTTAGTTCTCTATCATCAAGTTGCTTCTCTGATTGTATAAGCATTACTCATTTGGGGAAGAAGAGGCAGTTTTCAAAGCCCTAAAAAGTGGCCTCTTCCACCTCAATGGCGGTAGTAGAGTCGCTCAGCGGCATGTTCCGCTGTCCTTTATTTCCTGCACAAGCAAGCGAAGGCTTCCGTTCTTCACAGGACTTGGCTCTGACTACTTAGCCTCCTTTGGCTCGTTCAGCAGCTGTTTACAGATGTTTTAAAAGGATCATCTTTTTCGATAAATGTAACTTCTGAATTGTTAGAGAAGGGTGAAATAAAGCTAAGCTGTTCTTAGATTAAGGAGCTGTTGACCGTGTTCCCCACCGATTCCTGGCTTCAGGTGCATTTCTTCCCTTCCTTTCTCATCTCTTGTCCCTCCAATCTTCTGTCTGCTCTTAGGGTTTCTGGCCTCTTTCTTCCTTCTTTGTGCTTCTCTTCCTTTACTTTCTTTTCCTCTGTCTTCTCTTCCCTTCTCTCCTCGTCCCTTCTCATCCTTTGGCTCCTCTTCTTTCTCTGTGCCACATTTCATCTTTTCTTTTTCCATCTCCCCCATTTCTTACTTCTGTTTATTTGTCTAATTCTCCATCTGTTCATCCATTTATTTGTCTTTATTTCTTGCTGTCACCTTTCAATAGCAGCACAGTTTTTTATTTAGGTTCTTTCTTTCTTTCTTTCTTTCTTTCTTTCTTTCTTTCTTTCTTTCTTTCTTTCTTTGTTTATTTTTGAGAGACGGAAAACAGAGCATGAGCAGGGGAGGGGCAGAGAGAGAGGGAGACACAGAATCCGAAGCAGGCTCCAGCCTCCGAGCTGTAAGCACAGAGTCCAACGCAGGGCTGGAACTCACAAACCACGAGATCATGACCTGAGCTGAAGTCACATACTCAGCTGACTGAACCACCCATGCACCCCAATTTTGGTACATTGTTTATTTCTAAAAGTCTGTAAAATTCAAATAGTATTTAAGTCAAATAACATATTATGGAGGTAATTCTGTTCTCTAATAGTTAAAGTACATTCTAAATAAAATTGCCAGTTCTATTTTAAATGTTTGATACCCTTTTCAACAGTCATTTCTGGCATTTTATACATTAAAAAATATTATTTTCCTTCACAATGGAACATGTGTACAATGATCATCTGATTAAAACTAAATATTGGCCTTATTTGCTATGTTCAATAATTTCCATCTTTGCCTTTGTTATACTCAATTTATTAGATAAGCATGTTACGAAAATTGAGACTTTCATTTTTCTGTTTTCCAAAAACTAAAAAAAAAAAACTAAAGTTGCAATAAAGTATTCAAGTAAGAGTACAAATAAGACATTAAAAAAGAAGGATAATGATGTTATTGAAACTGGATATTGATATGCCCATACCCTCATTGTGCAGTAAGTTGAAATATTTGTTAATTGATGGATTGAAAAGTGGATTTATCACAGGAAAGTTACTTTGAGAGTTATTGTCTAGTGTAGAATGGTTCAAAGATCAAAAGTACTAAGTAGAGGGCTGCAATACATATAAATGAACTTAAAAAAAATCTCAGTAGGAAAATAATACTAATGAAAATTAAAATTACAGCATATGTCTACAATTTGTGTCTACTAACGTCAGGCAAAAAACATCAG